GCTGGGGCGCCCTGGGCCTGCATGGCTCGGGGCTGGTCATCAGAGCTCGTGGCTGAGGGGCCAGAGGCCGAGGTGGCCTGCACCCCGCGAGCCGGTGCTGCACGGGTGAAAAGTCAGGCGTGGGCAGAGGGCAAAGCCTGGCGGGCGTCCAGCATTCAGCACGTGCTTCTGTGCCCAGGTCCTGCGGTGGCCGCACAGACGTCGGTTTGATTGACAGACAAGTGCCCCGCCCTGCTGGAGATTTCATCGCAGGAGCCATGGTGGTGTGGACAGAAAAGGGGCCACATGTTATGCCTGACAAGCTCAGGAGACTGAGCATAACCACAGAGGATGGTGTGAACATAAAAATTCCTAACTAAGGTGGGCCATGGCGGGGAGTCACATCTTGAGCTTCCTCATTAAGTTAATCTGTGCCCTTACAGTGGGCCTGTTCTTTGTCTTTCTGTACCTAAGATAACATCTTTAATCCTATTTTCAGACCAGAGTTGAAAACTGCAAAATTCCTCATTATTTTGCTCATCTCCTGATTAACATCTCTATGTGCTGAGAAAAGCAAACTGTTAGCTATTCTGCACCCTCCTGTGTGGGAGGAGTACCTGTCTCTCCAATTTACTCTTATCCAATCTCAGAGATTTCCCCAGTTTCCTTTGTCCCACCCCCTTCATCTATCACCAGTAACCTTCCTCCTTTGATTTTATGTATAAAATAAACTGCAAACTGCCATTTTGCGGAGCATTTTCTCAATGCATTGAGACTTTGCTCCCGGCAATTGTTGATAGTTTGGCTCAAATAAACTCATAAGTTTTCTCTTAGGCTGGATATTTTTCGTCAAAATATATGGAAGTACCCAACCCCACCCATCTTGCAAAGGGTTCCTCCCGCCAGCAAGGCAGGGCCCCAGGCAGGGCAGTCTCCGTGGGGGCAGGGCCTTCACAGGTGTGTGCTGCACCGGAGGCAGGACCTGAATGCAGTGGATAGGCCTAGACCTGGGACCACCGAGGCCACCCTGCTCAGTGTGGGGTCTCCAGGGAGAGAGCCAGGGGTAGGGGCTGGAGTACTGATGCCCAGCAAATGGGGGGAGGTGGGTGTCGATATAGCCCAATCCCCCGTTTGATTCCTGGGGGAGGAAAAGGTGAGGCCATGACCAACAACAGGGTTTAATTATGAATCAGAGCAAAAGGGGGGCATCGGGGCGGCTTCCAAGCTGCTTCCTGGCCTCAGCCGGCTGGGCCTACTTGGAGGAGACCACCTTCCTGGATTTGCTGGGCGAGGACAGGAGCTCTGGCAGCAGTGGGGGCACCTTGACACCTTTCTGTCTCAGCTGATTGTAGTAGTCGGTTCTCTCTCCACGATGACCCTCTGGAAAGGAATGCAGCAGAGGCTGCCTGGGCCGGACACCACCTGTCCTGCCCCAGGACGGCTGCAGCAGCTGGGGCGTATTTCCAACCCGTGCTCCACAGGTGGAGGGACGAAGCTCTGGGTTTCTTGCCAACTCCTGTGCTGAGAAGCCCTCACTCTCATCCCCACTCCCGCCCGACAAGCCCTAATTCCACCTGTGCAGTCCACTGAGACTCAGAGACCCCGGAGGCCCCTGGTCTGTCCCTCAGGCTCCTCCTGTCCCTCCCAGGGAGGCGGTCCCATCACCTCCCTAAGCCTCCTCTATGCCTGGGCTGTTTCCTGTGGGGCTCTGGCAAAGGAAAGGCCTGTTCCAGGCTCCTGGGCGGCCCTGATGACTCCTCCTATCCTTCCCTCCCTAGTCCTCCCCCCACCCATTCTCTCTCCCTCCTGTCCCACTTCCCTTCCCCTTCCTCTTCCCTTCCCCTTCCTCGCTTCCCTCCTTCATCTTCCCTTCTCTACCGCCTCCCTCTTCCCTTTGCCCAAACAGTAGGCAAGCCACGCAGACCTCCCCAGACCCGCTGCAGGGGTCCCCCTTTTCCTAGCACTGTTGCCACCCTGCAGGAACACCATTGGCCGCTGCAGTTGACAGAAGAAAGGAACCAGGTCTCAGGGAAATGTGGTGCTGAAGGCCAAGGGTATCTGCTGGGGACCAAGGGCTGTGACATCAGAGGGGCTTGGGGCCTGGGGCAGAAGCAGCCCCTAGTGACAAAGACCGCACAGCACTCCAGTAAGCCAGGCGCTGTGGCCCATGACGCCTTGACAGCAGGCGCACTGTCCCCGCTGTGGCCTTGACCTCGATGGCAGGCACAGGCAGGCACATGGTCTCCAGTGTCCACAGGGAAGCCCTGTGGCTCAGTGAGTCAAGTTGGGTGCACAGCTTCTTGGCCAAAGGCCAGGCGGGTGGTGACTCCACGGCAGGCCCTAAAGCCCGCGCCATTTCTGCAATGCCACCCTGCCCCCTGAGTCCTCTGCTTGGGGTTGGCGAGGAACTGGCACGGGCCCAGGCCGGGGACGGGGGTCCATGGCAGGGTCTGGCTCAGCGGATGGCGATTCTGCTGAGGCCATGCTGAGTGCCTGGAAGCGTGGTGAGGAGGCTGAGCTGGGCAGAGCCTGGGGACAGGCTCCTGCCACAGGAGACCCTCCAGAACCCCGGCAGCTTGGCTCCCGCCCCGGTGCCTCCCAGAGGGTTGCCTCTGCTGCTCGTCACTCAATGCTGAGGGCAGCCTAGCCTCGCCAGCCCCATGACATCACCGTCCCTTTGGGAGATCCGGCCTCCTCTGCCTGAGCACACGGAAAGGACAATCCGGGGCTCACAGTGAACAGTGACACTCATAAGGTCAGGATGAGCATGGGTGTCCCCAACATCCAATCCCAGCTCCCCTGCTGCCCTGATGCCAGGAGCTCCTGCCTGGAGTCGTGGCCAGGACCCAGGAGGCCGCTGAGGGCGGGCTCTACCTGCAGGGCTTCCAGGATGTCATTGTCAGAGATCTCTGTGGCCAAGGATTTGACCCCTGTGGTGCTGAAGGTGGCCTGCATGATCTTGGTTCTCAGCCTTTCAAGCTGGAAGCAAATGCAAAATACTGGCACAAGCCTTCGCGGGAGGAAGGAAGGTGCCCAGAGCCCGCTGAAGCTCTACAGAGGGCGGGCAAACTCCTTGCTCCTCACTGCTTTAGGGACCAGGAACTGCGCAATTCAGGGTGGTCTTCAGGGATAGGGGTGGGCCCTCAGGGGAGGGGCCGGCCCTCAGGAGGAGAGGCGGGGCCTCAGGGGGAGGGGTTGGCTCTCAGGTGGGGCGGGGCCTCACGGGAGGGGCCGGCCCTCAGGAGGAGGGCGGGGCCTCAGGGGGAGGGGTTGGCTCTCAGCG